GGGGCGACGGCAGACCTCGAGGAAGCTGTCGGTATCGCCCGGCAGTCCGTCGAGGCCACGCCCGACGACCATCCTAACCGCGCAGGCTGGTTAAACAACCTAGGAAGTGTACTTGCTTATCGGTACGAGAGAACGGGGGCGACGGCAGACCTCGAGGAAGCTATCGACTGCTTTCGTCAAACTTGGAACCTGGCAACTGCCATTCCGTTCCGCCGCATATACGCTGCGATTCGTTTGCTCAGATTATATACTCTTCGGACCAACTTTGATGAGGCTATTCGCATAGGCAAAGGCGCGATCCATCTTCTCCCGACTGTGAACACCAAGCTGCTCAGCAGTGACGATCAGCAGCATGTCATTTCTACGTTCGCAGGTTTGGCGGCCAGTCTTTGCTCGTTACTTCTGGCAACGAATCAAGTCGAAGAAGCGTTGCGCTACCTAGAAGAAGGCCGCGCAGTCATTCTGAGCAATCTGTTGGATGCTCGGAGTGATGCGTCGGTCGTGGCAGGCGCCCATCCTGACCTCGCTCATCGGTTCGAAGAGCTTCGACAAGAGATCAATGCACCGCTGCACGAACATGGACCTGCTGTCGAGAGAGAGCAGCGCATCAGCCGGCGTCGCCAGGCGATACTAGATTTCGAGGCCTGTGTCCAACAGATCCGAACGAAGCCGGGCCACGAAAGGTTCATGATGGGGCTGACGGCAGCTGAGATGCGACGTTGTGCGGCCGGGGGAAGCATTGTTGTCGTCAACGTCAGCTCGTTCCGGAGCGACGCCATCATCATCACGCCCACAATCGTCAAAGCAGTTCCGCTCGCCAGGCTATCAGCCTCTGACGCGCAGAAATGGTTAGGCAAAGAATGGAGCACGAAGAAGTCTCAGCGCGCGAAGAGCAACAAGGAGTACTTGGCGTACCTGGCCTGGCTCTGGGCGTTATGCGTCGAGCAGGTCCTGAACGACATACGCATTCTCCAAGGCGTTCAGGGCAGCGAACTCCCCAGAGTGTGGTGGGTCGGAAGCGGCCTCGCCAGCTCAATGCCATTCCACGCCGCAGGGATACACCGCAGAGGCTCGACGACGACGGCCTACCACAGGGCGATTTCGTCATATGCACCGTCGATCAAGACGCTCGCTCACGCCCGGATAAGAGCCGACAATCCAAAGACGTCAGGATCCCTACTCCTGGTGACGATGCCAACTACGCCGGCGAGGGAAGGCGAGAAAGCGCCGCCTGACCTTCCTGGCGTCGCAGCAGAGAAGGATATTATGCTGGGAGTGACCAAAGGACATCTAGCAGCCGAGCACATGGAGGGTCCCAGCGTGGACGACGTTCTCGGAGCGCTGTCGCGTTGCTCTGTTGCGCATTTTGCCTGCCACGGCTCGTCAGACCCCGTGGATCCGTCCCAGAGCGGTCTGATCCTGCAGCGACCGAGAGACGCGGCCCCCGACAGTGCTGGTGCCGCCGGTCTCGTCCAGGACAGATTATCGGTCGGGCGCATGTCGGAGGTGAGCCTTCGGAATGCCCGGCTGGCGTATCTGTCGGCATGCTCGACGGCGCAGAACAAGTCGGATCGCCTCTCGGACGAGGTGATCCACGTGGTGAGCGGATTCCAGGTCGCCGGTTTCCCGCACGTCGTGGGCTGCTTGTGGCCGTCGAACGACAGGACGTGCGTGGAGGTGGCGAGCAGATTCTATTCGCGGCTTTTTGGGCAGGAGTCGCGATGGCGCGATGACACGGTTGCGAGTGCGCTGCGGGATGCGGTGATGGAGGTGATGGAGGACGGGGAGTTGGAGGCGCCCCTGAACTGGGCGCCATATGTCCACTACGGTCCGTAGACTAACGTGACCTCGCGTCTTGGTCAAGTGGGTCGAATTCTTGCCGGACGCAGTCATGGTTCATTCTTTTTAACTATTGTCGCATGCAGAGCACGGTGTGGTGATGCTCTGCAGCTCCTTCATTGCCCTAAACTTCCGTCACTGTCCCTCTGAAATATGTCTGCTCTGCTCATGGCGGATCGCAGTTTCCGCACCGGACGACAGGCATTGCGTTGGGCGGATGGGTGCCGCAGAAGCTCACCCGGCCGCCCGGTGAGACGCCGCGCCAGCCGATGCCTCAGCGTGTCCGCGACCGCGACCACGGCGATCTGGGGAAACTCCAAAACCATCGTCCCGGCTCGGAAGCCTAAACGGCGCCGGGTCCGGCTCGACCGCCGGGTGGCCGGTGCGCGATAGGCTTCTTCGATGTACCAGGCGCGGCGGAGGTACCGCGTCGATCGGTATCAAGCTGAAAATATAAGCGATCGCCCCGTCGCGAGGGGCAGAGGCACGTACACGGGTGACTGATATAAGGTGGTCCTTCGGTATAGTGCCTCGTTCTCGGTTATAGGCGGCAGTGAACTTTTTCCAATAGGAATTAAGGCCCTTCCACGCAAGTCTTTCTCCTGGCTGCTTTCCGGCTCTTATGGCTATCCTAATACGGAACACATACTCTTTGAGATCCTCAAGGGAGTCTACACTTCGTGGGCCATGCTCTCGTACGCTAGTCTAGTGAGATGACGTATTGCACGGTGCCGGCTTTAGAACTTACAAGTCATCCCAGTTCTGCAGTTGCTGTTCGTAGTTCTTTTCGGTTATGTCTTCGACGTTCTTATTAACTAGTTTATTATTCACGATTAAGGTGTCGATCTCGACGCCATCTTACTGCTTCATATAGTTCTTCCTTTTCGGCCCTCGTTTAGGCGTCTTCTTGGGGGTATCCATATGGGCGGCAGTGATATAGCTGTGAGAGGGGAGATAATCGGTGAAAGAGGGAAGATGAAGGCTAACGCAGGGAACACGGGTATTGCTGGGAACCGACCCCTTTTGTACCCCTGAGGCAGGTGTCTATTTTAAGCAATCCAGTCGCAGGTCGGACGTGGTACAAGCCATTGGTGGCTTTGAGCCTGCCAGGAGCAGCCGCTGATTACTACTTATCGCTCTTCCAAGAGTACAGGACGCTGGGGGAGGTCCGTACATAATGAGGCTCTAGAAAGCAGGCACCGGTGTAACAGAGCTTATGGCCTGGGTCCTAAAATCATGGAATTTGGGTAGGACTCCTTGAGGGCCATGGTTGCTTTACAGAAATGTGGTATGGAGTGAGTTTCAGGTGGATTTAAACAAATTCGTCGCAAGTGGTGGTCTTCCGTGAATTTAAATCTCCTCTCGACTATAGTAGGCAGTGATAAGAACAGAATGGACTAGCCACTTCAGCTCTTTCTGCTCCCTCTTCTTCATGAACGAATGACCAAGTAGTTCTTTAAGATCAGGCTTCGAGTTAGCCGCTGTAAAGATCTCGATGGCTTCTTAAGACCAATCTTCAGGGTAAGTCAGACCTGGAACTGTATCCTCAGTCTTCTCCTTCTCCATCAATTTCATCGCTAGTCGTCCAAACGAGTCTAAGAGCTTTGCAGTGTCACCGCCCCGACGGCAACGTTTAACGTCACCAATCTTAACTTCTCCTTCCAAGTTAATTAATACATCCGCGACAGAGAGCTCTTCGTAAACTAAACCGCTTTCCAGGAGAAAAACGGCCCCGGAGAGGACCTCCAAGCGCTTCTGTTAATCTAGGCCTGCAACTAATTTAGAGCATATACCTGATGCAGAATGGAGCTGAGCTGTTGCTCGCTCGGATAGACTGGTGCCCGACATAGATGCAGGAGAGTCGTGTGCATGAACTCAGATATGAGGAAGCAGTCTTCCTTAGGATATATGAATATCTCCATAGCCACGAGGATGTTAGGGTGGCATATCTGTCGAAGGTGTAGTATCTGCTCTTCGATGTTCTGGCCGGTGATTGACCGAATCAAGCAAGTCTCATGTGAGTCACGGGCAGTAACAACCCCGAATGAGTAGCCAAACTGGATTCGGTACTTTTTGTCGTAGCTTTTCCAGGGTGAACAGGTGAATATCGGAACGAGCTCGTCCCTTCGCGATATTGGAAGGATGGGGAAGCGGGCGCGCCGATGTTGGGTCGGCATTTGAGCACTGTCTCCCACCACATGCTGTGCTCCATAGGCAACCAGTGTATCTTCTTCGATAAAGCGAGTGCTGCGCTTTGCAATCGATATATTGAATTTACCTTGCCAACACACTAATTGTATTGAGGCTACGATATTCCGGACGTTCCTTTATACTCGATGAAAATTTGCGGGGCTAGGTGGCCGTTTCTGGCCTCTCCTTATTTAGCATATGCCAGTTTCGTCCTGGCGAGCCGGGCCGCATAATCTCTGCTTATATAATATCACGGACAACGTCGAGACCTGTCCTAATACTGACATGTCCGCTTCCTGAGGCTGATTTGTCCTAGACTCGGGTTAGACATGTCTATTTTCAGGTGTCCCGATACCACAGCCAGACATGTCCATATCCCGTGCATGACATGTCCGCATGAGGACATGTCCTGTCTGGAACAAGTCGGCATCGGTAAATGGACGTGTCAGGACTGGGACAGGTCAGGGCTAAGACATATCAACCCTGGACAATGGACAAGTCAGGACTGGGGACATGTCAAGATCCGGACATGTCAGATATAGGACTAGTCAACGTCGTGAAACAGACATGTCAGCACTGGAGACAGGTTAGAGTTGGGAAGTGGACATGTCCGGATGAAGGACATGTCCCATCTAGGACAATTCAGCGTTTGGAAATAGACATGTCTAGATTGGACATGTCGGGAAACGGACATGTCCGTTTCCTGAGGCTGAGTTGTCCTAGAATAGACATGTCTGAATTGGACATGTCTATTTCCAGATGTCTAATTCCCATCGAGACATGACCATTTCTCGCGCATGACATGTCCGTTTCCCGAGGCCGATGTATTTTAGACTGATATGCCTCTATCATAGCCATCATTTTCCCTTTAATTTCCACTCCTATTTCTCCACAACTGCCATTGAATGACAACCGCTATCGAGCTGACTATCAGGCTCTGAGTTCATACCACTATGGCGACGCTAAAGCGCATCTACGACGAGATACTTTTGAAGTTGCAAGGGACTGTGAAAGTTGCCTTAGCGTCTTTGTCTTTCGATGGCCTGCAAGATATGGGGGAGGTCGAAAAAGATAAAGTGGAGCGATTGGCGAAGATATTCGAGCTGGAAGGGTGCAACCGTCTCAACCCTGCCCACTCGATCCCAGGTTCTATATCTGCGGATATTCTCCGGTCTGCGCTGCAATACTCAGACCTGTCCACGGAGGACTTGCGAAGTGTCGAACCTCCCACTCTACGTCTTCCCCCAGGTATAAGTGTCGAGTGTCTTCAAGGGAAGCATCGCCTTGCAGCGTTAAGAGAGTCCAAGACACTTCACCACTAGTGGACGGTCAGACTCTATGTTAGTAAGTCACACCCGCTTCCTGGAATTTCGAGCGCTAAGTGTGGAGGCCTTTCAACGGAGGCGAAACGTCTCCTGGTGGAAGACTCTCATAACGAAGGTAGACGTTCTGAAGGCCATATATTTCTGAACATTCTCAAACATCCGTTAGCCTCGCCGAATGCAAAAATATGGCTAGGAAGGCTCGGCACCAAGAGCAGGGCGGACATAGCTAAGAGGCTTTACAGACATAACAGTCTGGCCGGGGCGCTTCGCATCGTTCTTAAGATGCCAGGCCAACGGAGACACTTCAAATTAGGCGCCTGGAAAAGGATAATAACCGAGGGGTGTGACGAGGCATGCCTCCGGGCGAATAGTCCGTCTGGACGGGTCACTAACATCTACTAGGAGATATCGCACTACCTCCGCCTTATATACGACACATTTGCCTTTATTATGGGGTCTGATACAGTCTTAAAATTTGTCGATAAAGAGACTGTTCACAACTTCGAGCTCCGTGCGCCGGGAGCGTCACACCAGGACGAACTCTACGTATCGGCCGTCGTATCAAACAACTCAGTACTATAGTATTTGGAAGACGAATCAGACAGATAATAGGTGCTTGGGCGGCTTAGGACTATACAATACTTGATTCCGACGTTACGTTCTTTGCAGATGGACTTCTACTACCTATAATAATGCACGGGTGTTATGAGACGTCTGATATCGGGCAGGGACCGCCTACCTTTCACCGTTCAGTCGTTGGCTCGGGACGCCTTCACCCTCCCACATGCCTCAGCCTTTAGTCCCGAAGCAGAGTTTCTCGGAAACCTAAAGGAGCTCTATCTTCATATTATGCAGAACATCGTCGAACTCTCTGGAGAGAATCCGCTACTAGAAAATAACGAAGAGAAGCCAAGGCCTCGGCAGTTCGACGAGACGGCATAGGTTCAGCTGGCTATTCGGGCTAAAGACAAGGGGTTCGATTCTGATGAGATCTCTCGGCTGTGTTCCATAGATCTGGATCGAAAAGTTGCTTCTAACCTTTTGCTAGCCGCCCGACCACTTTCGGACTACTCCTGGGGACAGAGCTTCGACGAGGCGGTCGATTTATAAGTCCGAATCCTCAAGGAGGCGCGACCTATCCAGCATAAGCCCGGCAGTGCGGAGCTGACGACTACTCGCCACGCGGAACCAGTAGCGAGACGCTGTGGACGCCAATACTCCAAGGCTTATGCTCGCGACCGCCACTTCTACACACCAGACTGGTTCACGTGCGTTATGCAAAAGGGATCCGATATAACCTCTCTGTTTATACGGAGATCGGTCTTCCATGCCTTTTGGGGCTTCCACGATATCACAGAAGGTGACGGTTCAGGCCACGACGATGACATGGTGGATGCCGCGGAGGAAATCGCGGTACCTGGCGAAAGAAACCAGCCGGCAGACCTTCCGGCCCCGACTGGTAATGAGGATGAAGAAATGAGAGACGCGCCGGCTTTCTCAAAGCATCGAAAGCCACGGCGACCGCGGCAGACGCTGGTCAAAAAGACAGCGAGGCTGGACCGGCACGGAGACATGCCTGTTGCAATGGCAGAGCCCAGGGAAAGGATCCGTAGGGTACCGGCGCATTCAGAGGCGACACCTAGTGGAGTCGTCGCAGACAGGAGCTCGGCAGTCACAACATTCATCCCCGTGCATGTTAAGCCTCACACCGGCCCGGAACGCATGCAACAGGCAGGGCCGGACCACCGACAGATGACTATCCTGCTACGGAAAGACGGAGAATGGGTGGACGCAAGACGGTATCGCCGCGCATCAATCATCCAGGGAATATTCGAGGTTCGCCGCGAAAACCAAGGGCAAAAGCTCCGTCTGTACAAGCAGAACGGCCGTGGCATCGAGGCGAAGGATTGCCCTACCCTGCACGATGATTCTGTCTACTTGAGCACGGATGCATCGGGGTTTCCAGCTGAAGAAATATTGTAGTGCTAAGATAAACGGAAGCCGGCTTCCAAACTAGCTCATTGACACACGCTGAAACACATCAGATTGCGAGCATCTGCTGCTTTATTCCGGCCCAGTTCAAATCCTGCCCGTCGACATAAGAAACCTCGCCTTGCTGAATACCCGGAAGAATATCGACGTCCATGCAGCTTGTGTATATATCGGCAGGCCTCTCCAAGCCATCCGGCTTGAAAGGCCATTCCCAGACCCAGTAGAGGGTGTATGCACCGCAAACGTCGCTTGGCAGCCGGATGTCGGACTGGCACCAGAGGTCGGCGCCTTGAGGATCCGCGGGGACTTTCTTGAACGCTTCCTGGCGGGCGATCGATATCTGTCCGTCGTTGATCTGGTAGCACTGGCCGTCGTCGAAGGGCCGGACGGCCAGGAGGGACCCTCGGCGGTCGCCGCCGGTGCCATCGGCGTTCCAGACACGATGTATGGAGAGCAAGGCGTCATCCTCAGAGGGATTCGGAGTGCCGTAGATGTAGATGGTGCCGCCGTGCTCCTTGTGCGGACTCGCTTCCGGGAGGGTGACATGTCCGTTTTCCTGATGTTGCAGAGCGATGAAGTCTCCGGGCCACGCCTGCAGCCGGGGGAACATATCACTCGACCGCGAAACTCGCTGCGAGTCCCTGCAGATGCGGTCGGTGGGAAGGATGCCCAGCTGCGCGTCCCTGCCGTTGGGCGGGAGGTGGTGCTGCATCCGGAGGTCGTCGAATGTCGGGTCGAGGCGGGAGACGAAGCCCCGAACATAGCCAGGGTCGCCGACCATGGTGCCGTTCAAGCCGAGGCGTCTAAGGCGCTCGACCCAGGAATGGGCCCCAGAGAGGGGCAGAGCGAGAAGAATGGCCAGGAGCACGTTGAACTCCATGTTTGCGGTGCTCGGCTGCTGGAGCGACCGCGCAGCACGGCGGAGACATCTTTATGGCTCGTTGGCAAAGTCGAAAGCAGACAACGGCCACATCGGTCCTCGGCCGGTTTTAGCCATTCGATCGGGATCAAGGCAGGCAGCAGGGCATCTGCCTCGAGCTATTAGTCGTTTATTCAGAGCTGCTTCTCGCATGAGACCTGGTTGATACGGTCATGCCAGAGCAGTTGGCCACAGGCGGGAACCGGCGACAGATGCAGCATGTCCCACATCCTGTGCTAGGCTGAGGGGCGGGCGGCGATCAGCACTGACTTCCTAGGAAGTTACGACGCTTGGGCGGAGGTGGGGGCGGGGTGACATTTTCGGCACGGGACACCAAACTGTCGAGTCGGCAGGCGCAAATCGCCCCAAAGGGAACGGCGTAGCGCGGTTGCTCTATTTTCAGATTGCTGGAACACACCCACAAAGCATCGCCGGGACGGAATCGTGGCTGTTCCGCGCTGCTTCGACCAGCACACCGTGCGGAGCGAAGATGACCGGCAAGGCCAGACTTTGAGGTGCCGAAGTCGGATTCTCAGGGCTCCGCTCTAGGGTGCCGACACCGCCGATGGTGCGGCTGGCGCTTCGCATCCCCGGGCCGCGTCCACCATGCAAGTCTGCCTTTGGCCCCCAAGTGCGAGCTGCCCTCCAAAGATAAAGGGAGCAGACACCCTAGAATGCGTGCTGCCTGCCTCTGCCTTCCACTGCTCGCGCACGTAACCATAACCACCGAAGCCGACACGAAGCGGAGTCGCACGTTTGCTGATATCCACGGCTACTTGCGCAACCGCGTGGCCGCAGCACGGGCGACGGCCGAGGCAATGTGCCCGGTCTCCGGCAGCAGATCGAGTCGAACATTCTCCGAATAGAGTCGCTTCAGGGAAAACGAAGTGGCTTTGCAGGAACTAAGAGCCCGAGAGGACGCCTTGGCATCTGCCAGCAGGAATGAGCAAAGAGCGGCGCGATGCTTCGCGTCTTGGCCCGGCGGAGGATTGCGGGTAGCGATGTTCTCATCCGAGGCACCGCCATGCTCACCACAAAACAGCGACTGTGCGATCAAGCAGCTCACATGCACGGTCTCTGGGCCGAAGAAACGACGGCCGGGCTTGAGGCAAGCTTCGTACAGCCAGCCCTGGTACCTCGAGGAAGCAGCTGTGAGTACCCATGCAAGTGCACATCCAAGCCGACTGCAGGCTCGCTGCGACGCAGGAACCCTTGACAGTAATCATCCAAGCACGGCTTCTTCCAAGCCCCCTCTTCGGCCTGAACTTGCCGGACGTCTTCAGGAAGCCTCTCGGAACAGAGCGGGCGCGCAACAGGCACGGCGCCGGGTAAAGTCCGCGCTGAGCGAACCCGCGTTCGTCACGCTGTTCTCCCGAGCCCGGCGCCGGCCTGCGGTCGAGCCGAACCTACGCCACGTCCGCGTCCGGAGACTTCAACGCGGCCGCTTCAGGACGCCTGCCGCCGTGCCCCGGTGGTCAGGACGGAGACACGCCGTGGCCGCGCTCATCCACCCGCACAGCTAAAGCACACGCGCATGGTACACGGCGAGCGCCTGGTTCGGAGCCCTGCGCTATCTGTGGCGGGGGACTAGTAAATTGGATATGTCGGCAGACCAGGTTTGCCCTGGCCAACGTGCCCCTTCGGCAAGGGCACCAACACCGTGCTCAAGTATCAATTCCCCAGCGCACATTCCACGCCGTGCGAGGACAACCGGCGCTTGTCTCTTCCGAGATTTCCAAATGCAAGCGGTAGTCTTCCACCAAACCACACTTGCCGGCCA